CGGCGGTGGTGGAGGTGGTGGAGGTGGTGGTGGCAGTGGTGGCGGCAGTGGAGCGGGTGGCGGGCGCGGTGGAGCGGTGCAGCGTGGGGGGTTTGGCGGTGGCCAGAGGCAGCAGCAGCAGCGCCCCGGCGAGACTCCCTCGACCCAGCAGCTCCGTGAGTGGTACTCTCAGCGTGGGGGGTCTGGGGGAGGGGGTACCTGCCCGTATGTCATCCGCACAGGTGACCGCACTGGCCAGACTTGTGGGAGGTTTCACACAGCGCAGCGCTGTTTCTTTCGCCTCGACGACGCCTGGCGCGAGCAGTTTCCTGACGCCTCTGAGCTGCCCCGCTGGGCTGATCTGCTTAAGAAGGGGATTGATATCTTTGCTCTTGATTATGATGCTATTCTTGCTGCTATGTATGCATTGACTATTAGTGCTGAGGGTGACTGTTACCTGAGTGTACCGCCCGACCCGGGCATTGGGATCAGTGAGGCTGCAGCTCTAGGTGCTAGCGCGTCAGCTGCTCTAGGTCCTGGTGAGGCTGCTGCCCTAGGTGCTAGTGCGTCTACGTCTGCTGGTGCCGCACCTACTGAGGCACTGCACACCTTCACACTGGACTTAGGTGCTTCCCGCTGTTTCTTCCGCGACCGCACTGCCCTAGAGCAGCTTCCTCGACCGGTTGCTGTCTCCTTGGCTGACCCCTCAGGGGGTCCGGTCCTTGCGACCTCCACCACTGCCCTCCCTTGTCCTGCTGTCCCGTCTGGCACGCTGTCGGGCCTCTACCTCCCCTCGTTCTCTACGAACTTGGTGGCAGGTTCTGCGCTCCAGGACGCGGGTGTTCACCGGTTCACCCCGGCCTACGAGCGTGTGACGCACTGCACGTGTGCGCGGACGGGTCGTCACCTGGCTACCTTCACTCGGCAGCCATGGTCGGACTTGTACACACTGACCACTGAGTCTCCTCAGGTAGCTGCGTCTGCGTCTGCGTCTGCGTCAGGTCAGCTGTCGGCCCCCTGCTCGTGTCGCTCCCTGTCGCACAGGACTGTCCTCTGGCACCACCGCCTTGGTCACCCGTCAGTGCAGCGTCTTCGCGGCATGCACTCCAGGTACCTTGTCTCTGGTCTTCCCAGGGTTCTCCCTCCTCTCCCACCCTCGCCTGCTCCTCCCTGTCTTCCCTGTGTCGAGGGGCGGCAGCGCGCCGCACCTCACTCCTCCTCGTTCCCTCCCACAGAGGCTCCCCTGTAGACTCTCTACCTGGATGTGTGGGGCCCCGCCCGCGTCCGGGGACAGGGCCACGAGCGGTACTTTCTGCTGGTCGTCGACGACTACACGCGCTACACCACGGTCTTCCCCTTGCGTACCAAGGGTGAGGTCCCTGATGTCTTGATCCCCTGGATCCGCGCTGCTCGTCTCCAGCTCCGCCAGCGGTTCCAGTCGGACTTTCCTGTCCTGCGTCTGCACTCTGACAGAGGTGGCGAGTTTTCCTCTGACCTCTTGGCAGCCTACTGTGCGGAGCACGGCATCACCCAGTCGTTCACACTCCCGGCCTCTCCGCAGCAGAATGGGGTTGCTGAGCGCCGCATTGGTCTTGTCATGGAGGTCGCTCGTACCTCCATGATCCATGCGGCTGCCCCCCATTTCCTGTGGCCGTTTGCAGTGCAGTACGCCGCGCGTCAGCTCAACCTCTGGCCCCGAGTCTCTGTTCCAGAGACCTCGCCTACCCTGCGTTGGACGGGGGAGGTTGGCGATGCGTCGGTGTTCCGCGTCTGGGGATGTCGAGCCTTTGTCCGCGATACGTCAGCGGACAAGCACTCCTCCCGTGCCGTTCCCTGTGTCTTCCTTGGCTTTGTCCCTGACGCGCCTGGCTGGCAGTTTTACCACCCCACCTCGCGCCGGGTCTTCGCCTCTTCGGACGTCACCTTTGATGAGTCGGTACCCTTTTACCGTCTCTTCCCCTACCGCACTGCCCCGCTCCCCCCTCCGCCGCTCTTCCTCACGCCAGGTGCTGCTTCGGTAGACCCCCTGCCTCCCCAGGGTGCTGCTCCCTCAGGTGTTTCCCAGGTAGACACGGTCGAGCCTGTCGAGGTAGCTATTGACTCTGGTCCTGTGCGAGGTGCTGAGCGTGCTGAGCCTGGTGGTGCTGGGCCTGGGGGCGCTGAGCCTGAGGGTGCTGGGTCTGGGGGCGCTGAGCCTGGGGGTGCTGAGACTGCGGGTGCTGGGCCTGGGGGTGCTGCGACTGGGGGTGCGGAGACTGTGGGTGCTGAGCCTGGAGGTGCTGCGACTGGGGGTGTTGCGCCTAGAGGCACTGAGGCCGGGGGCTTTGAGACTGACCGTACTGCGCCTGCTGGCGCTCCTTCTTCACAACAGCTGCGTGAGTGGTACTCCCAGCGTTGCAGCCTCCGTCGTGGGGCTCCTGGAGCTGGGGGGTCTGCTGGAGTTGGGGCTAGTCGTCCTGCGGGTGCCGTGTCGCAGCCGGAGCCTCCCTCCCCTCAGCGGCTGCGTGAGTGGTACGCTCGGCGCTGCAGCCTCCGGAGTGGAGCTCCTGGTGTTGAGGTACCGCCCGCTGGAGACCCTACCGCTGCTGGAGGTCCTGGAGCTCCTGGAGGTGCTGCTGGTGCTGCTGGAGGTGCTGGCGGTGCTGCTGGAGCAACTGGAGGTTCTACTGGAGCTGCTGGAGGTTCTGCTGGAGCTGCTGGATGTACTGGAGGTGCTGGAGGTGCTGCTGGAGCTGCTGGAGGTTCTGCTGGAGCTGCTGGAGGCACAGGAGGTGCTGGAGGTGCTGCTGGAGCTGCTGGAGGTTCTGCTGGAGCTGCTGGAGGTTCTGGTGCTGTCTCTGCTGCTGCTGGGGGCACTTCACGGCCGCGGCCGTACTTCGTTCCACTCCTTCAGCAGGTTCTTGGTCAGCCGCCTCCTCCTAGTCCTCCCCCCTCCGTAGAGTGTCCTCCGCCTGTCCAGTCGCAGTCACAGCTACCGCCTGCCTCGCCGCTTCCTGGTCCTCCTCCCTACACTGGTCCGACAGGCGGTCTTACAGAGCGTCGTGAGCCTGAGTCTCGTCCTGTGTCGCCTGTGTCCCGTCCGGTGTCACCTGTTTGTATTGCTTGCGCTAGTCGCCGTGTACCACGTGAGCGTCCGCCACCTGTGCCTGGCACACACCGGATGTCACTGCGTCCCTCCACTGCTCCACAGCGTGTCCCTCTGCCGTCTCCTCCTCCGTCCTCTCTTCCTGCCCTTGCTGACCCGGAGTCTGACTCCGTTCGTGCTGCCAGTCCTACTGTCACGCGTCTCCTGGCCACTGCTGTCACTGACCCTTCCTTTGAGTCGACTGCTGCGTCTGCCCTAGTTGCTGAGCTTGTCGACTTTGTTGCTCGCTGTCGTCTAGACTACGCTGCCAGTCTTGTTGCTGAGTCTGAGTCTGTTTGTCCTCCGTCCGTCGGGGGTGAGTGTGCTCTAGGCACGGACGTCCTTGAGGACAGACAGGAGGACCTTGAGTGTCTTGCAGCCGCTGTGCCCCATCTCGTGTCCATGCTGATTGCCCCTGAGGGAGACCCCGATGCACCAGACATCCCGACTCCTCGATCGTACGCTGAGGCGATCGAGGGTCCCTACTCCTCACAGTGGCAGTCAGCCATGGACGCAGAGATGGCTTCCTGGAAGTCCACAGGCACCTACGTCGACGAGGTTCCCCCACCTGGGGCGAACATCGTCAGTGGCATGTGGATTTTCAGGGTGAAGCGGCCGCCGCGTTCTCCGCCTGTCTTCAAGGCTCGTTACGTTGCTCGAGGCTTCAGTCAGCGAGAGGGAGTAGACTTCTTTCAGACCTTCTCCCCCACCCCGAAGATGACCACTCTTCGGGTACTACTCCACGTTGCTGCTCAGCGTGACTACGAGCTTCACTCTCTTGACTTCAGCACAGCTTTCTTGCAGGGCAGTCTGCACGAGGAGATCTGGCTGCGCCGCCCTCCTGGCTTCACTGAGTCGTTTCCTCCTGGTACCCAGTGGAGCCTCCGGCGGCCGGTCTACGGTCTCCGCCAGGCACCACGTCAGTGGCACGACACACTGAGGACTACTCTTGCGGCACTTGGGTTCGCTCCTTCTACTGCTGACCCGTCGCTGTTTTTACGCACCGACACTTTGCTGCCACCGTTCTACATCCTCGTGTACGTCGACGACTTGGTCTTTGCCACTGCTGACACTGAGGCTCTCGCCCACGTGAAGTCGGAGCTGCAGAAGAGACACACGTGCACAGACCTGGGTGAACTGTTCAGCTACCTTGGCTTGCAGATCACCCGGGACAGAGCACGCCGCACCATTACCTGACTCAGTCACACACGGTGCAGCAGGTCCTTCAGCGCTTCGGCTTCACCTGGTCCTCAGCACAGGCCACTCCTCTGGCTGTAGGTCACTCGCTCTCAGCTCTGCCTTCGGATGAGTCCGTAGAGTCGAGTGGTCCTTACCCAGAGCTAGTTGGTTGCCTCATGTACCTGATGACTTGCACTCGTCCTGACCTAGCATACCCTCTTGGCCTTCTGGCCCGCTACGTGGCTCCTGGCAGGCACCGAAAGGTGCACTGGGATGCTGCAAAGAGGGTCTTGTGCTACTTGTGCAGTACATCGGGCATGGGGCTCGTGCTTGGAGGAGGGAGCTCAGTTGTTCTCACTGGGCACTCAGACGCTTCTTGGGTTGATGACCAGGCTACTCAGCGGTCGTCACAGGGTTACACCTTCAGCCTTGGCTCTGGCTCAGTTTCGTGGCGCTCTACCCGTTCGTCTTCAGTTCTCAGCTCCAGTTGTTAGGCTGAGATCTACGCCACAGCCATGGCTGCACAGGAGTTACGCTGGCTCACCTACCTGCTGACCGACCTGGGAGAGCGGCCTAGTTCTCCTCCAGTGCTGTACGTCGACAACAAGGCTGCCATTGCCTTGTGTGAGGAGCACAGACTGGAGCACAGAACGAAGCACATCGCTCTCCGTTACTTCCTTGCTCGAGAGCTGCAGCAGCACGGTCAGCTTCGTCTGCGTTACGTGGCCTCTCAGGCCAACACCGCTGATATATTCACCAAGGCACTTCAGCCTGATGATCATCAGCGCTTCTGCACTTTGCTGGGGCTGGTGCCCACTTTTCCTCACTTGTTGTAGGCTTTACCTGTACTGTGATCTCTATATATATACTCCTGCCTGTCTGCTCTGCTAGGTTGAGATCACCCTTGTTGTTTGTGCTGCATATATACTTCTGCATGTGAACTGGCCATGTGGCCCTTTGCTTGTGCTCGGAATGTGTGGTGACGTTGTGATCCACCCTGAGCTTGCTTGCCTCTCTTGACTGGTCTTGTGACCCCTTGCTCTCCCCCACTTTGCCTATGGGGGTGTGTCAAACACTATATGTGTTATTGTTGTGTAGGCTATAGTGGGTTAGCCTTTAGGGGGTACACAAAGCTAGGGTTTGCTACTTGTACTCCAACTTTTCATAGTTCAATCACTTCTCATTCTGACACCTAACACCCAGGTCTGGCACTCGCCAGGCATGCCTAGCCACCTGCCTTGGCTCGGCCATGCGGTCAGCCTCGGCCGCCGCTCCGCGGTAGTTGGGGGTCTCCTGGTATAGCACCTCCAGGCCGGTTGCCACGGCCACCTCCTTGACGCCCTCCGCCTGCATCTCCTCCTCCTCCTCCTCCTCCTCCTCCTCCTCCTCCTCCTCCTCCTCCTCCTCCTCCTCCTCCTCCTCCTCCTCCTCAAGAGCCTGCCCAAGCAGGCGCGTGTTGTCGCCTGTGGTCCCCCTGAGGCTCATGTCCTCAGAGACATCGGTGGTGCTCCTCGCGCGCAGGTGAGACATCACAAGGTGGTTCTCCGTCCCGTCCAGCTTGCTTGAACTCCCACAGTGGCGGAACGCGTCAATGATGACCTGCTTGGGGACTTAATCCCATGCCTCCGCAATCCACTGCAGCACCACGGGGTGTGGAGGCCTCTACAGGTTTCCTAAGAGTGGGACTGAGGCAGGGAAAGCACGCCGTTAGAGACATGAAGGTGTAACAGGACATGAAGGGGTAACAAGGCTGAACTTGCATGAACTTTACTCACCCTTCTTCGTCTTCAGGTGAATCCATTCACGCATAAACCACCTGGCATAGCGTGCGCGCACCGCGGCCTTGAAGCACCGGTTGATGGAGACGTCCAGGGGTTAAACTTGGCTCATGTAACCTGTTGGGATTACTGCAGGGGTGATGCTATGCGTACGGTAGGCTTGGAGCATGCCCTGGGTGATGAGGCTTCGGTAGGAGTCCAACACGAGCATCGCACGCCTCGCGTTATGGCCGCGCTGGGGGTTGAGATGCGGCAGCACCTCCTTGGTCAGCCAGATCTGCACAGCGCTCTCGTCCATCCACCCGCTATCCTGTGCTTGGCACACGACTCCTGCCAGGCACAGGGGGAGAGAGGGGGGTCAGGCAAGAAGAGCAAGCTCTACACTCGTGGAAAGCAGAATTCGATTAGCTTACTGTCCAGAATGTCACACTTCGGCACGTTTTTCACCTTGAACCACACCCACGGGCGGAGCTTCTCCCCGGAGGCGGTGCACGCAAGCATCACCGTCAGCCGCGTCGTCTCATATCCTGCCCTGCGGATTGAAACCGGGCGCGCGCCACAGTGCTCGATCGTCCTCTCGGCCGACATCTCAACGAAGAGAGGCGTCTAGCCCGCGTTGATGATACGGGCCGCGTCGATGTTGTGCCGCGTCCTGTTGATGCGCACGAACTTCCAAAAAGACTCGTAGTCCTTAGCGCACTCTGCGCAGGAAAAACACCGCACAGCAGGAGCGGATGGGTAGAAACATGAGAGGTGATTAGAGTTCTAGGCACATACAGTCAAGAATCAAGCGCGGATTCACTCCCTTAACCACTTACCGGCAGATAACCGTTGGCCGACCTTGGTCTTCACCCGCATAACCAAGTTCCAGCGGTCACGGAACTGCTGGCTCCAGTGTGAGCTCGCGTCCCAATTCTTCCCGGGGTGGTGTTTCTTCATCCACTTGCAGCTCCACTTCTACGTGACTTTCACCGTGATCGCCACCCCATTCACGCGCTGCAGGCATATGTAGCGGTACAAAGCCGCCTCCATGTCGGGGTAGTGTGACTGGCGGCTCGCCCCGTGCATCCGCTTGCGGCAGTTCGCCGCTCCCTTGTAAAGGACCGTTGCAACCTCTGAGCTCCAGCGTCTGATGCAGGTGATGGACGCGGTGGATTCCACGGAGGTCTTCTTGAGGGATCCGAGCTCCTGGTAGCGGTGCGCCCACTTGAGTTTTTCGTGTACGCTCTAGCCGCGCCTCGTTTTCTTAGTATCCTTGCTGCCAGGGGAAGAGGGACAGGAGTTGGGATTACGGAGGGTGGGGTCTTTCGGCTTCGCCTTCTCAGGGAATGAAGGAATCGGGCATGCAGCCTCCGTGTAGTCAACGTTGCTGCCGAGCGCCTCGTTGACCACGATGTCGTCCTTGTTTGGCGTCTTCTTTTTCTTCTTAGCAGCACCCGTGCTGGAACTAGGGTCGCCGTCGTTCTTACGCTTCTTGTTGCTTGTGCGGCGACGTACAGTGGCCTTGGCAGGGACCTCCACGACCTTGGCTTTTCCCTTGTCTGCAGTAGTGAGGCGCGGTTGACGCTCCTCCCCCGAACTATCGTCATCGGAGAGCACCACACGGGCACGCTTCTTCTTGGGTTGAAGGCGATGACGGAGCCTCCGTTTCAGCACAGGAACGTCGTCGTCCGCCGTGATGCGCCACGGTTCGTCTTCCTCTTCTTCACTGTCGAAGAAGACCGCATCAACACCTCCCTTCGCAGCATCCGCATCCGCCTCCGCACCCGCATTTGCCTCCACATCTGTGGCCGCAACCGCATCCGCATCCGCTTCCGCCTCCACTTCCGTCGTCGCTTCCGCTTCCGCTTCGTCGTCTGCATCCGCATCCGCAACCTCCTCCGCATACACCGCCGTACCCACAGGCACATATTCCGCCGTAGCCGCCGCAGGGGCTTGCACCGTTGCATGCGCCGCTGCCTCAGCGTGCTCACCATCAGCATCCGCAGCTACGTCGTTGTCCGAGTCACCAGCCAATATCAGCCTCGCCAACTGGCCAATTCTACCATTCGGCGTCGTCGATGCTACCAGCAGGGGTTTCATCCCTTGACGTGCTGTCGTCGTGGCCATTCTCCGCCCAATCCTCCTCGCCGTCGTCGCAATGTTTCTTCGCCGTCGTCTTCGTCATAGCTCGCACCTGAGGTGGCGGTTGAGCATCCCGCCTTGCGCGTATCTTTCGTCATAGCTACATGGATGTCATCAACGGACGAGTTGATTCGCCCGTAGTTGTTCAGCTGGAAGCGAGGGCGAGGGGAGGCCGTGCCAACAGGGACTTTGCTGCGCATGGTTGAGCCTGCCGAGAGCAAAGGTTGAGCTAATCTCAACCCTCTTGAGCACAAAATCAAGCTCAAGCCCTACTACCACCCCCCAGCCAGAGTGCCCCTTCCAAAGGCTGCCGAGCCGCTCCTCTACAAGGAATCTCCTCATAGAGGACAGCACATGTCAGCCCTCACACTGCCATCATGCTGCCAGCAGCGTTCTGGAAGCATCCATGCGCTGCTGGCAGCAAAACGACGCTGGCAGCATCAATGGATGCTACCAGCATGGAGGGATGTTGCCAGCACAGGCAGCTTTGCTGCATCCCTCACGTGGCATGTGGTGGCGACGCATGCATCACCACCGAGGTCGGCCGAATTCAATGAATCTGGGCCCTGGGTGGTTTCTACACACTTTGCAAATGTTACACGTTTCATATTTTTTTTTCCCATTTATAAGACGTATAAGAAGACAATCCAAGCATTGTTTCTAGTGTATAAGATAGGACATATATGTCTTATATCCGGGCGATGACGGTATGTATGCGAGCCCTAATGTCACAAAGGCGGATGCCAACCTATTACTTAGCAGCGGGCATGAGCATGCTCACGAGTCATCTGCATACCTTCAGCAAGCGTAGAAGTGGGGTGGTGGAGGGGAGGAAGGGGGTCGCAGGGCAAAACATCATAAAAAAAGAAGTCGTTGAAATTCGTGCGTACTATCGCTAAGCACTTCCGAGGTGGTTCCTCCTCATGAAGTACTACTAGTGTGAAATAATGGGGCTGAGTTCTTCTTCGCCACGTAGGGGTGTCAGTGTCGCAAGTCCAGTGTGAGTACTTAAAGCTGTGAGGGAGCATAGGTCTGTCTTGGAATAATTTTGCAACTACAGCCATAACAACAACACTAGAAAGTCCTTACATGCCTCCGTAGAAAGAGTGTGGGTGTTACGGGAACGATGAGAGCGGGAGAAGAAGAGTGGCAACTTGGGCAACTCGCAGTGCTACTTGTACTCCTGATCCAAAGAATCAAGGAAAGCCCCCAAATCGGCCCTTAACCGATCCCGGTTGAGACCCCAATTTCTCAAAATCAGCCCGTAAGAAAAACTGGCTCCCCCCGAAACCGGCCCTTTGAAATGTCGAAGCTGGCCAGAAGTTCGCACGGAATGTTCAGGACATTAAGGGCAAATGCATTTGAATTGACAGCCCTGGTTCGAACCCTGCACAGGATTCGAGTCGAGTCAGCATCAGCTGACAGGGGCGCCTTGTGAGTCACATCGACTGTATCTGCCAGCGCGCTCGAGAATTTTACTTACAATCTCATGCAACTTCAACTCGATTGAAAAGGCAAGCATGAAATCTACATGTCAAACTTATATGCTACATGTTGTGTAGGCTGTAGTGGGGTAGCCCATATGGGGTACAACCCAAATTAGGGTTAGTACATGTACCCATCCTGTTGCTAGTTCATCCATCCTCGCTTAAACTTTCTGACATGGTTTCAGAGCACGTCCTCTCCTAGGACCGTTTTTTTTTAGGGCCCACCGAATCGCGCTACCCCACACGTCGCGCTGCCTCGTTGGCGCTGCGCTGCCCTGCCCTGCCCTGCCCTGCGTCGTGCCGTCCTGCGCATGCCCTGCCTTGCGTCGCGCCGCCCACGCACGCCCTGCCCTGCGTCGCGCTGCCCGCGCACGCCCTGCCCTGCGTCGCGCTACCCGCGCGCGCCTTGCCCTGCGCCGCGCCGCCCGCGCGCGCCCTGCCTTGCGTCGCGCCACCCGCGCGTGCCCTGCCCTGCGTCGCGCCACCCGCGCACGCCCTTCCCTACCCGCGCGCCGCTCGCCGCAGCGCCGCCGCCCTGCCTGCGCGCTGCTCGCCGCCGCACAACCCTGCCTTGCCCGTGCGCCGCTCGCCGCCGCGTCGCCTTGCCCTGCGCGCGCGCCGCTCGCTGTCGCGCCGCCCTGCCGTGCCCGCGTGCCGCTCGCCACCGCGCCGCCCTGCCCTGACCGCGCGACGCTCGCAGCCGCGCCGCCCTGCCCTGCCTGCGCGCATCTAGCCGCCGCGCCGCCCTGCCCTGCCCGCGTGCCGCCCCGCTGGCTGCCGCCCTCCCCTGATCTGCCTGCGCGCTGCCCTGCTGACCGCCGCCCTGCTTTACCCTGCCTGCATGCTGCCCTTCTACTAGCACGCCCAACTGCTTTGACCGCGATGGCTACTCTCACAGTACTCTCGTTCGATGCAGAGGGCCGTCCAATACAGTTCGACGCGTGGCAAGATGACTTGCAGCTGTACTTACTAAGCGATTCTAGGGACGGTGTCTCGCTGTTTGACCTCACGTCTGGAGCCTCTCTCGCCCCTTCCGCCACAGCTGACAGTGCGACTCGCTCACAGTGGCTTACCCGTGACGCTGCTTCTCGCCTAG